CAAGCAGGACTTGAATGAAGAGGTATGAGAGGACCACCCCCAACCCATCTTTCATGGAGGTGAGATGGCCACAGGTATTAGACATTGCACATGTTTTCAGCTTTTTCATTTTATTGATCAGTCATGCTGATTTTCCTTTCCTCTCTAAAAAATGATATTTTTTTATATGGGATAGCTCTCTAGGAGGAAGAAAGGGAGGCATACTTGGGATAACTATGATAATATAAGAAACAGATGATATCAATAAAATGTCAGAAAAAAAGGAATCATTGGTAACTTTGATCCTTCTCTCCTTGATGCCCATACAGCCAAGAACTTCCTAATCTTTCCCTTCTCTGCAGTTGTACAGCCTTGCCTTTCTTCCACACTTTCTCCAATCTCTAGAATCCATAGGCTCAGAATCTCTTCTCCAATTCTGAGATAGCTTCTCTCTTTTATACAAAGTGTTGAGCATGTGATCCAGTGTCTCACATAATGCCCTTGATTGATTTAAAGAGATGTACAGTCCGGATGCATATACATTTCTGATAGTTTTGATGGAAACAGCTAGGTGGGGCAGTGGATAGAACACTGGACCTGAGGTGAGGAAGTCCTGAGGTCAAATCCAGCTTTAGTCACTTACTACTAGTGTGACCCTTGGCAGGTCACCTAACTTCTGTTTCAGTGTTCTCTTCTGTAAATGGGTATAATACTAGTACTTCTCAGTTCAACAACTTCACAGTTGTTGTGAAGATAAAATGAGATATTTGAAAAGTGCTTTGCAAACCTTTAAAGTGTTATATAAAGCTAATGGTTATTGTTATTATTATTATTGTAGTGAAGGAAGAAAAGCAGTAGTAGTGGTAGTGGTAGTGGTAGTGGTAGTGGTAGTAGTAGTAGTAGTGGTGGTGGTGGTGGTGGTGATGGTGGTAATAGTAAAAAAATGTTTATACCTAGTCAAGACATCAGAACCAAATGAGGTGATCTAGATTTCACTCTCACGCTACTAAAATTTCTTAAAGCATGTTCAAATATGTAGTCAATTTATGGTACTCTTAGTACAATGCCAAACATATACTACTAGGCCTTCTATAAATGCTTGCAGAAGTGATTGAGTGGTATATTTAAATATCATTTAATAGAAAGGAATTGCACTATCAATAATTTCAACTTAGTTGAAGGAAATTTGGTTGTGTCTATTTATTTATTGGGTTTTATAGCATCTCTTCTCCAAAAAGCTCAAGTATTGACAAATAATTTTAACAATATTTTAAAGTACTCAGGTATATCTGAACCTATGGAATTTTTAGTCTCCTCTTAAAGTTGCCTATCTTCTTTGCCCTATTCCCCCAACCTCCCCAATTATCTTATCTTAAGATCACAGGTTTGTTATAGTTGATGTTGATTCTTCTCTAAGACATCATGAACATGATATCTTGATTTGCTCATGAACTGGATTTGAGACAAAGTTGTACAAAGTCATCAGCTTTGCTCTCTCCTCCAAAGTCACTGGAGTCCAGTGTCAAGACAAAGGTCAAGACAACTGGCAATGGTCCCTAAAATCACAGATTTATAGTTGGAAGGAGCCTTAGAGTTCATTGCATACAAACACCTCATTTTGCAAATAAGGAAACTGAGGCCACAGAGATCCAATGACTTTACATACAGCTGGTAAATGTTGGGGGGCAGCTAAGTGGCACAGTGGATAGAATGCTGGGCTTGGAATCAGGAAGACTCATCTTTCTGAGTTCAGATCTGACCTCAGACACTTACTAGCTGTGTTACCCTGGGCAAGTCATTTAACCCTGTTTGCCTTGGTTCCTCATTTGTAATATGAGCTGCAGAAGGAAATGGCAAACCACTCCAGTATCTTTGCCAGGAGAATACCAAAAGGGGTCATGAAGAGTAGGACACAACTCAGCAACAAAAAGTATTTGAGACAGGATTCAAACTCAGGTCTTCCTGACTTATCCAACATTCTATGCACAATACTCTAACTCTAGCTAAATAACGCTAAATAACTCTAGCTAACTCTAAAAATGATTTAACTTCACTGGGATAAGAATCCAAGATGTATTGTTTACCAAATGATTTTTAAACTAGTTATATACTCTGAATCTGCGGTGTGTTGGACAGAGCAATGGACTTGGATTCTAATCCTAGCTCTTCTATTTACTACTTTGTGATCCTGAGGTCACTTAACCTCTTCAAGGTTTCATTTTCCTCACCTGCAAAATAAAAGGGGATCACTCTAGATCTTTAAGATTCCTTCCAGTTCTAAGTGCTATGATCTTATAGTTGATAATAGTGTTATGTTCCAGATAATTTGCTACTCTGATTAGCTGAGATCAGAATACAATAAAACACATTCAATTACTCCTACAAGATGATAGATGGGACCCCCAATTTTGGGGAGTTCTGCTTCTGTGTGGATCAGCCTTGCTGTGACCAATTAGTTGGGTAATGATTCAGGGCAGACATTTGGAAAGTGATAGGAGAAGTGGCTTGGTTAGGTGAGTATGGACAAGACCTTAAATTCACAACCTTCATTTCTCCTCTTCAATTAAAAGGAGGTTTTTCAGTAAGTTTTCCCCTTCAGATCCCACATTTTGTGGTTTTTTTTTCTCTTTTAAGACTGCTTTTGCTGATTCATTTGAATTTGATTTCATTTCTATAAAAATGTCATTTCAGCTTTGCTCAGTGCCAAATATGATCCTTCCCCCAATTCCTTAGATCTACTAATTGTATGATTCAGAATCATACATAATGATGATTAATAATATGATGTCACTGTATAGCATTATGAAAAAAAAATCTGAGTTTGGTGGCTTTCTGGTTATTTGCATTCTGGATCAATGGGGCCATTGACTTCTCAGTTTTGGGTGGAAGGAGAAAGTCAGGTGTTGTGCTTCTACCCTTAACATTGTTTCTGTCTTCAGAGAATCTAGGATTTTTACATAATGTCATTGTTTTCTTAAGTAAAGGCAAATAATATAAACCTTTTGATGAGAGTACCTTGTATTTAAGCTACAGTTTAATAAGCCTGTCCATGAGGCCATACATAATGACAATGACTCTTTATATACAGTAGATTACATGAACCAGTCAATAAACATTTATTAAATGCCTACTATGTGCCAGCTAAGCACAAACAATGCAAAAAAAAAAAAAAGATAAAATAGCCCTTGCTCTCAAGATTACAGTCTAATGGGGGAAGACAACATGCAAGCAAGTATGTACAAACAAGCTATATACAGGATACATAGGAAATAATCTACAGAGGTAAAGCACTAGAATTAAGGGGAATCAGGAAAGACTTCCTGTAGAATGTGAGATTATAGCCAGGACTTGAAGGAAGCCAGAGAAGCCAGGAGGAGAAAATGATGAGGGACTGAATTCCAGATATGGAGGTCAGCCAAGTGAAAATGCCATGTGGAGAGATGGAGTGCATTGTTTGAGAAACCGCAGAGCTCAATGTCCCTGAATCGCAGAGTATTTTTTTGGGGGGGTGTGTGTGTATAAGATGTAAGAAAACTGGAAATGTAGGGAGGGGGTGGGTTATGAAGAGCTTTGAATGCCAAAACATTTTTTTAAGCACTTGCTATAGGCCAAACACAGTGTTAAATGGACAAATTCAAAAACAACTCAAAGACTCCCTCTACCCTTACAGAGTTTACATTCTAACAGGGGAAGACACACGGGGGAGAGGTGGCCCGGGAGGTGCACTTTGGTCCCCCTAGTTAAAGGGATGTCGAGCAGTTCTGGGGTAGAGGTGGGGAAGGAGTCGGGGTTGCTCACGTGGCTTAATAAACTAATTGAAATAATTAGGGGTGTAAATCCTAGAAATATTAAAATCAGTCAAGATTGATATTAATTGTCATTTGATAACGTCAGAGAACTAAAGAAATTAATATTCCAAACCAAGTAAGCCGGAAGAGTAACTGATTAACTCTGAAATCAGATAGTCTGAAGCTAACATATTATTAGTAATCGGACTTAAGCAGTATCGGACAAATCAGGTGGTACGTGCACACACATACATAAAGTAGCGACCCTCCCTCACCTAATTTAAAAATTATACATCCATAAGTGCACAAAACCCTAGACCCCGTTTCCTTTTGTGGAACGCGTGCAGCAGATATTTTCGGGAGCGAACAGGGCAGGAGCTTCTTCCGGAGAAGCGCGAACGTGTTGCTCTGGCCGAGAAGCAGCAGCGAGAACTCACACCAGGTGTCTCACGGATTTTGGAGTGATGACTCCGCAGATCGAAACTTAAGCCAGCGCCGGGCTCGCTGGGACAGGAAAGGGAGTCACGTGACCAATTAATCACTGGCCTACCCCAAGGCCAGAGCTAACAAGGCTTTAAGTGAGCGCCACTTCTGAAATCTCGCCCAGGTGATACCGCGCGCCCCTGGGGACTAGAGAACGGGCGGCCGGTCCTAGACTCGCTAGCTCTTCGATTGAAGCTCCCGCCTTTCCCTTCAGCCGGCTTAGCCAGGTTTTGTTGTGTTTTTTTTTTTTAACTCTTATCTTTCCAAAGTCAGAGACACGAAAAGAAACTTCCGCCTGGGTCACGGCGGAGGCAAACCACGTGACCCCGGCACGAGAGGCGATTGGGAGTGGGGGGGGCGGGAGTAAGTCGGTCAATTTCCCAGCTCCCCAGCCCCGGTTCCCTCCCCACCTTCGCACCGTGCTGAGACGTCGGCCGACCGCGAGTCACTTTGGCAGTCTCGCGCGCCCCCACGCGTGCGTGCACCCGGCCGCTCTCGCGGTGTCTCGCGCCGCCTACCTACCTCCCCCCATCCTTACTCCTCCTCCCTCTCCTACTCCGCTCCTTCCCTCCTCCCCCTTCCCTCCCCTCCCCTCCCCTTCCTCCTGCCCCTGTCTCTCGACGGTGGTGGCTCGCGCAGCTCGTTGGCTCACTATATAAAGGAGAGAAGCGGGCGGAGAAGACGGCTGGTGGCTGCAGCCCGTGCGGCGGCGGCGGTAGCGGCAGCGCGGGGGGCGGCGACCGGTGGCGGTTTCGCTCCTTTGCCCCGGGCGGGGGGCGGGGAACGCTTCCCTGGACCCCCGAAGGGTCGATTTTTTTTTTTTAAGGGCGATTCTCGAGGATCTCAGCTCCCGGAGGACTTCCCCCCCTTCACCGCCCCCCCTTCCCCCTACTCCACCTTCGGGACTCGATTTCATTTTTTATTATTTTTTTTTAATCTCGGTGATCTGGTTACAGTCGGGGTCTCTTTTGTTTTTGTTTTTATTTCTTTTTTTTTAATTTTTTTTTTTGTTGTTGTGTTGTGTGTGGAAATGGCGAACTCGGCAAATACAAACCCCGTGGTAAGGATGTGACTCGGTGACCGGCGGCGGCGGCCACGGCCGGAGCTGGGTGGCGGCGGGGGCGGGCGCGGGCTGGGGGCCCAGGAGCTTGAGCCGGGCTCAACTCTTTTCCCCCTTCCCCACCCCCACCCTCAGTCTCCTCCCGCTGTCGCCGCCGCCACCTCTTCCCGCCGAAGGGAAGACCTGGGCCGAGGGCGGGGGAGGGGGCTGGGGTGGAGGCAGGAATGGGGGGGTCATGGGGGGTGCAGGGTGGGGATCCTTATCCTCTCCAGGAGGGAAGGGTCTCGAGAGGGGTGGGGAGAAGAGGGGGAGATGAGAGTAGGTGGAGGGCTCTCAGCCGTGCTTTCAGGGTTTAAGGAAGGCTTTCCTCAGATTAGTTACCACTCGAGCGAAAGAAGAGGCTAAAAACTTGAGAAAGGGGAGGGGACGGGGCAGACACCCTCTCCTTCCGCCCCTTCCCCCCCAAAAAACCGCCATAAAATGGTTTTGGTGCAAGAGAGTTGGTTTTGTTTAAAAAGGTGGGGGGGGTAGATTGGTGGTAAGAGGGAGGAGTTTAGAAAGGAGTCTGATTCTCCGGGGCAACCGAAGTCTATGGCAATCCCTCCCGACGAGTGAGGCAAGAGAAGTGGCCCCGGGAAGCCCGAGAGTCCCGAAGCCCGAGCTGGCCAGGAGCGGGCTTGTCCCGCTTGGCAGCACTCAACTGTTCGGTTCCGATCGAGGGGGAGAAATCCGGGTCTTGGGGAAGAAGATTAATCTCCCAGACCCCGCCCCGGTCCAGTTTGCTGGGGGTGGGGGGGTGTTTCTTTTATTTCTTTTTTCTTTTTTTTCTTTTTTTTTTTTTTTTGTTGAACGAGGATGCCTTGGATTAGCGCAAAGTGTGAGGCGACCTTTGAGTTTTGTGGTGGTTAGTTTCTTTGGAGCTGGATGGGGCCATTTTACGTTTTCAAAAGAAGGTTGAAAAGCACTTGTCCCATCTCCTTTAGAATCGTTAAAATGGCGAAGGGGAAACAAAATCCCGTCATACCTTCGACTAGCAAGAGGAAAAAAAATTACATTGACCCAAGGCACCCCCTTTGCCTTAAATGCTGCCTTATCCCCCCCCACCCATCCCCGTGTCCTTTTATTTTTTTGTTACTTGCAGTCACATAGGTTTGCAAAAAGCAGTCACATAAATAACCTTTGCAGTCACCAGTGCAATGTGATACTCGATCCACCCGACTCTCCTTTATTATAAGACTAATAACAATAAAAAATGACACCCCTCCTCCCCAAATGCTGCAAACAAACCCTCTCTGCCCAGGACTGTACCGTGGAGACTTGGCCCCCTTGTTTGCGACTCTCAGAGAGAGATCGATCCATCATGGCTGCTGCAGCTTCCCCTGCTTTTCAGTCCCTGCTCCTTGTGGTCCTCCTCCCTTTGGCTGCCCTGTTTATATAGAGCCATTGCGCTCTCTAATATAGACTCTGCCAGGATGGGAAGGTGCTTTTCAGTCCTACGTCACCGGCTCTCCATTTAAACACCAGATCAGGCTTTAAATAGTGAGAGCTGCGGAGAGCGAGGCTGGGAGGTGCATGCTCCGGAGTGAGAAATTGATTCGTGCACAGCATAGGTTTTTTTTCCTTTTCTCTGTGGCCTCTTCTTGCACTTTAATTTTGCAGCTCTTGAGCCCTCTCTACGTTGCTCGTCGACGCTGGCTTTTGCTGCAGTAACTTGTTTTTCTTTCTACATGTTAAACAATAGGAGACTGGTCTTTCTTGATGACTTTTGTGTATTTTTTTCAAAGGAGGAAAAAAGTAAGAGGCTTCCCTCCCTTCTTCCTAGTACCCCCAATTTTTCCAGAGTATTTAGAAGTGGGAAATAGGCCACATTTGTTATAACTTAAATGGAAAATACAGGACAGGCTGTGTTCAGTACTGAGTATTTTAGTATTTTTGGTTACAGATGACTTCAAAACATTTTTAAAAACCTCAGTTTATTTATTGAACAATTTAAAATTGTAAAACATGTAAAAATCATACTTTTGAAATGTGGAATAGATTCTAGGTTCCTATGATGAATCTTAAATGTAATTTGCCTTCCAGACCTTTTCTTGAGGGAAATAGTATTTTCATTGTCAATGAAGAGGTGCTTTGGAGTACAAACCCTGGATTAAAAAAAAAAGTTAACAGACTAACAGATTGTTGAATTGATAGATATTAACATCATCCTTGTTACACAAGCAGTTTCAATTTATTTTACATTGTGTTTGTATACAGGCTACTAAGTGTGTAGGAATGGATTCTGTCATTACCAGTACCCTTAAATTTAGATGGACCATATAGATATCTGTTGCTTTATGTAATAGATGAGTATACCAACAAATGTGTATATGGAATTTTTGTTAATAGAACCAATTATCCCAATTAGGGGAACTGATTAAAAGAAACTCTAATAAAATAGTTGACAATTACATAGCTGCATGTGTTATTTCATTTGATCTTTATGACAGCTTTGTCAGGAAGTATAAATATTTGTACTGTCTTACTGATGAGGAAAGGAAAGTTCAGGGTTTCATTGCTAACAAGAATTGGATGGGTTCTGGGCATGGGAGCTGGATTTGGAGACGAGGTGACCTTTTTTTTCAATTCGCACCTTTGCTATTTAGTATAACTGCAGCTAGCCCTCTGTGTCTTCTTCAGTAAAAAAGAGAATTGGACCACATGGCCTTTGAGGGACCTTTCACTTGTAAATCTGTGATCCAATACAGCTGCCTCCCTTCTGTAGTAAATTATTTGGTAATGGAAATATTCGCCCTCTAATTTATCCAGTTGTAAAGTTTGGTTTTAAATATCCTGTTTTGCTAAAATATGGTATACCTGTATTTGCCTGAAGCAGTATGTTTGGTACAGTTTGTAGCTTTCATTCAAATTGACTCGAAAATGTCTTTAGAAATTATCCTTATTCTGAATGGTCTCTGAAGTACCTGAACGCTGATATTTTAAAAACCTCTTTGGCATAGGAACAAAGGCAGCTAAATCATTCCATATGCATTTGCTTTATGAAAATATAATTATTCTATTGCATTGTTAAGAATGTAAGGTATTAAGTCGTGTGTGGAATAGAATATCATTAAATAGCATAAGATACCATTCCATCAGAGGGCTGGACAAATGTTCTCTCTCAAAAAAATAGGTTCATTGAAAAGTATGTACAAGAACAAAGAAGTTTGTAATAGTAGTGAAGAAATTTTATACTGTTGTATTTAAAAATTAAAACTATTTTCTAGGTGCGTATAAATGCCTAGGTCTATAAGCTAAAATTTTCTGTATTAGCTAACTTATAATCAAATTTTAACATAAATGGGGAAATTATAATTTATAATTTAGCATACCGTTCAGTAATTTCTTCACATAATATAAGAAATAGCCTCATTGTCATAATCTCTTTGTAGCAGGATTTTATGGTGAAAACAGCTTGGGCAAAGAAGGCTGGTATTTAAGAAATTAAATCTCCATATATGTGGATAATACAGTAGAAGAGGTACCTGAGTTATTTTTGTGAGAATGCATTATGTTGAACCAGTCTACATCCTTATCAAAGACATTTTTTCCTAAATCAAGGGTGCGTAACCGTTTTTGTTTCATGTACTTCCTTAGCAGTCTTGTGAAGCTTATGGATTTTTCAGAATGTTTTTAAATCCACAAAGTACAGGATTATAAAGGAAGCCAGTTATATGGAAAGTTAGAAATTTTTTTTTAAAAAACCAGATCCTATGTTAATCTCTCTTAGATGGCTTCTTGTGACCAATAATATTTGTGATTATACAATTAACAGGAATATTTCTGAATGGTTGCTCTGGGGGTTTTGAATGAGATATAACTCCTGAACTTGGCACCATCAACTTCATGTTTTCACTTAATTTCTTCCCTAATTAAGTTTAAAACAACTAAAAGTCATTTTCAAAAGAGAACCTTTTAGGAAGTTTAACAAACTCTCTTTGAAAACTGTATGGAATATATTGTGATGATACAATTCAGTTTTACATATGTAGAGGTGACAAGAGACCTCCAGGGTCATTTAATCTAATCCCTTCATTTTATAGATGAGGAAAATGAGGCCCATAGAGGATAAATGCCTAAGTCGGTGTTATAAGTGGATAAGCCAGTATTCAAACCTTGGACTACAGATATAATACTTTTTCTTCTGTATCATGCTACTTCTACTGATGATTCAGCTATTATATTAAAATAAAAGGACCTTCCACTCATAGTCCCTGTTTCCCTTCCAGCTTTTGATTCTACATCTGATATGAATGAATGAGAAAAGCAAATCATTAAGTGCTTACTATGTACAAAACACAGTGCTAAGTGCTGGAGAGACAAACATAACAGTAAGATGTCCCCTGGGTCAGGGAGCTCACATTCTAATTGGGAAGACATTTATTTAAGGTTTTAGCTGATAGTCAGGTAGAAAGGTCCCATGGTATTTAGGGTACAGCAGCAAATCAGATGGTAATACCTTTTTTAAAAGTCATTTTCATTGATAAATTTCTTTTTTTGATGTCACTTGACAGTGACAAGGATTTTTGGTGGCTATTTATTCTGAGTCTTCAGTAGCTATGGCAGGAGCAGTTGCCAGGCCGCATCTCCACGTGAGTTGCTTCTCAGGATGATGGCTGTGGGCAGTGGGCTGGAAGCATTGCTATTTCCAAGGCTCTTAGATTCTGGGCCTTGGGCTGTCTCCCTCATGGGTCTGATGGGAGATGATGGTCCAAGTGTGGTGCTGGTTTGACTTGCATGGTACATTCTACCTCTTTCTCTCCCTCTGGGTGCTTTGCTGCTTCAGCTAGGCTGGCTTGCCTGCCCTTCAGAGGGCTAGGGGGAAAAAAAAGAAAAAAAGAGGGCTAGGGAGGGGCAGGTGAATGGAAACAACTGACCTATTTTCCACTGGAGTCGCTTACCAAGATGATGCATGTAAGGACCAGTTGTCTTAAGAGAGCCTCTTGAGAACAGGAACTGGGTTTTGTTTTATTTTGCCATTTTTTGTATCCCCAGTGCAGTGTCTAGCACATGGTAGTGCTTAATAAATGCTTATTGACCTGTCCTTATCTTGCCTGTTGGGTGAAAGTTGGTCAGTAGTTGATGGCAGTGGTAGAGAGGAAGGAAGGTGGGTCCCTTCTCCACAGTGATTTTTCCTCTCAGTGGTTAGAAGGGCTTACCTGTAAACAAACCTGGTGGTTGGAGGACACTGCTGTTTTCCAAGGTTCTTAGGTTCAGAGTACTAGGTGTAGGTACTTGTGAGTCTGAGGGCAGAAGATGGTCAAAGTGTGGCAGTGGTTTGTCTTGCCTGGTACTTGGTGCATCCTGTCTCTTTTTATGGTACCTTCCTGCTTCAGCTTGTTACCTCTTTTTATCCTGGAGATAAATTTTTTCCCTCCCATTTTGCAAATGGGAGAATTGAGGCACAAAGTTTAAGTGGTAAGCTAGGCATCACTTCTCCAGATTTAAAACTCAGTGTTCCTTATTGTACACTGTGCTGGCTTTGGGCCAGTGCATGGTTTTGAGTTTGTTCTGTTTTGTGGTTTCTGAATGGAACTTTAGTGTGGATAAATTTGACTCCATGGATTAAAAGTAATTTAAAATTCAATGTAGATGTTAAATGAAACTTCACAAAACAGAGGTTATGTTTAATAACATAATAATGTTATTATGTTTAATAACAGACTGTTAAATAAGTTCCTAATAATTTTTTGAGTTGTACATATCATCATTGTCATGTTCTGTGCAGGGGGATACAAAAAACTGTAAGGCATAATCCCGATACCTTGCCCTTCAGGGCATATTGGACTTTCAAGAATTTACAGCTTAGTTGTAGGTACAGGATTTAAGCATGAAGATTAATAATGTGAAGTTTAACATGTTTTATCTGATGAGTGGCAGGCTCTTTAACATTTCCTAGCCCTTTCCTTCCATCTTTAAAGTGGTCATCCAACCCTAAACTTATGTGATTCCATAGATCTTTTGTTTATATAATAGACATAGGGCAGCTGGGGTAGTTGGTAGTGATCTGCCTCAAAACCAGGAAGACTTGGGTTCAGGTCTCACCTCTGATAACATCCTGGCTTTGTGATCCAGAGGAAGTCATCTTGGCCTCCCAGTGTTGTAGACAACTTTCATAGAACTTACGTTTTAGAGTAGCTGCTCCCTTGTATTGATAGAGAAGGTTTCTTATTTACCTTGTGTAAAAGTGCACTAGATCCACAGGTCTGAGTCCCTATTCTTGTTCCTGTCTTTACACAGTAGAACATCAGAATTGTCACATATCTCCTAGGATTTGCTTTCTGGGATATTGGGACAATTTGGGAAAAAATATGGCTGTCTTAGATTGTAGTACTGTGTGGGCCCCCTCCTCCCAAGTAAAAGAGAAAAGTGGAATTGATTTTGAGGTGTGTAAAGGCATATACCTCTGAACACAAAGGAAAAAAAAGGTAACTGGGAAGTCATTGTGGGTGAAAGGGAGAGGTTAAGCTGTTAAGAATGGGAATCCAAAGCAGGATACCAAGTGAGAGTGGCAGTGAGTAGTCTGTCTAAAGCTATCCAGAAACAGGAGTCAAGTGGCTATGCTTTCAGGCCCTAAGTCTAAAACCCAAAGGTCAAACTGAGGGGCAGAGGCTGGCATGAAACTTTGGAAGGTTTTTGGAAGGTTGGGAAGGTAGGTTTTTTGCAGGGAGAGGAGACTATGTCAAGGTAAAGTAGAATAGTGACAGAAACTAAATCTGAGCAATTTGCATATCTGTTGTTCAACATCAGAATTAGTATTTGGCATTGAGATGCTAGAATTTTTATTTGTACTGTTATGCAGATTCCTGATGTGTTAATGAATTGTTTCAATTTTACTCTCAAACACTCTTTAGAGGGAGACTTACTGAAGGATTCAGTAAATAACTTGTGGATATAGAATTTGCCCACTATATTAGAAATATTAGTTTTTAAAGCTAATTGGTCAGATTGACGTGTAACTCCCCATTTTTTATGGTAACGCTTCCCAGACTAATTAGATATTTTGTAAAATGACTACCGCATTAAATCCAGTATGTACCAAGTGAATTTATGTTCTCAACAATTTCTTTTTTCTTTACAGCCCAAATTATATAGATCTGTGATGGAAGATGTCCTCAATGATGTCAGAGAAGTTTTTCTGGATGATGGAGTAGATGAACAAGTCCTTATGGAATTAAAAACAGTGAGTTGTCAATTGTTCAAAAAACATTTACAATCACACCATAACTTGCCAAACATATTAGACAAATTTTTACATTGTTAAAGGTGATAGCCATTATAAATGTTAAAGGCATGGTCTCCCTAAATATACCTTTGAAAAATGCTTTAATTGTTATAGTTTGAATAACATCTCATAATTTTGATACAGGGATTTCCTCTCTCTCTCTTTCTTTTTTTTTTAGGCAATTGGGGTTAAGTGACTTGCCCAGGGTCACACAGCTAGTAAGTGTCAAGTGTTTGGTCTGAGGCCGGATTTGAACTCGGGTCCTCCTGATTTCAGGGCCGGTGCTTTATCAACTGTGCCACCTAGCTGCCCGATTTTCTCTTTTTTTAACCTAACTCCTTTCTGAGGTTTTAAATGAAGGTCAAATGATAGGTTTTTCATGTCTCTCTTCAATTTTGTAGCTCTAAAGTCAAGATTGTGATTATGCCTGGGCCATTTTCTTTGGTTTGGACAAGTGATATTGGGGTATTTTCATTTAGCATTTATATATTCCTGCTAGTTGATATAGTAATATGATACCAAATACAGTTTTTGCAGTATTACATATAATTCAAATATTCCTCAGCACTTAACTAACTGGTGAATGATGATGTGCTGGTATATGATATATGAACATAAAATAACTATTCTCTATAACTATCTTTATCTTGATGTATAAACACCAGTTCAGTAAACAAATTTATTCAATATCTGTTATGTTCAGTGCATATAGTACTACTAGGTGTTTTGGGAAGTACAAAAGAATTGACATTGTTCTAGTCTGTTATGTAGCAAGTGAGGAAGAGGGGCCATAAATTATTTTTTTCCCCATAAGATGAATCTTATTTTTATGGGGTAGTAAAACGTGTGTTAGTCAACAAGCATTTAAGTGCTTACCATGTCCTAGGAAGTGCCAGGCATGTAAAGAATGAAACAATCACTACTCTCAAGGAACTTGTGTTCTATCAAATGAGATAATAATAATGTTCTTACCGTAGTGTCTAGTACAGAGTAAGAACTGTATAAATGTTACCGATTACTATCAAGAGAGATAATATGCATCCATATAAGTACAGATTAGAAAGAGAATGAATACAAGTAAGTACAAGATAGTTAGGGAGGTTACCAGCTATTGGATCAATATGGAAAGGCTTCATGTGGAGGTGGTGCTCAAGATGCATCTTGAAAGAAGGAGAGGGATTCTGTGAAGTGGATGTGAGAAAGGAATGCATTCCAGAGATGGGTCTGGCCAATGCAAAGGCACAGAGAAAGGAGATGAAGTACTTATATGACAAAAGGCAAGAACGCCAACTTGCCTGGATCACACAGTGTGGGAAGGGGAATAAAGAACTTTACAGAGGAGTTAATTTTTTATTCTAGAAGCAGTAGGGAGTTTATTAAGAAGGAGAATGACATAGGTAGATTGACTTTTAAGGAAAATGACTTTGGCCTCTTTGTGGAAGTTGCACTGGAGTCCATGTATTTAAGGCTAGGAATGATATGGTTGAGTGAGAATGATATGGTAGAAATGGCGAGATTTGGCAACTGCTTGAGTATGTGGGACAAGAGAGTTGATAATGCCAAGGTTACAAAAAACTTGAGAGTTTGGAAGAATGGTGGTATCTTTGACAGAAATAGGAAAGTTTGGAAGACTAAGTTTTGATTTGTAGATACTGAATTTATATTATATAGTATGGTACTTGTGAGCAGCTTTCTCTATGTTCATGTGTTCATAAGGCTTTTAATCAAGGAACTGGTAGACATTTGAACCTTCAGTCTGTTAAGGGAAATTATAGAATGTCAGGCTGTGGCCTACTTGGGCTTCAGAGTTGGAGTGGTAAAGCTTGCATACGAAGAGGTCAGAAAAGGCTGCTAAGAGGACTTACCATTGGGTATGCATTGCCTGTTTGTCTTGTCTTTGGCCACACATTGACTTGGGCAAGTAGGGGAAATTAGGAGTCTAAAATGGGGAAAGAATCTAGCTTTCTCAGTCAAGAAGATGGTCAGCTACGTGAGTCAGCAAATTCTGAGCTCTTGAACTCATTTGTACCTTTTGTAAGTGCATGGTGGGGCAGAGAGGGTAGTTAAGTCAGCAATCATTTATTAAGCATTTGCTGTGTGGTCGGCAGCTGCTAAATCATGAGAATACAAATGTAAGCAGAAAAAAAATCCATTCCCTGCCCTCAAGAAACTTACTTTCTAATGGGGGAACACAACACATAAAAGGAAACTGGAAAGGGAGGAGGCAGAGGGCATGGGTGAGGAGGGGAAGGGAAGAGAAGAGATGAAAGTATCCAACTCTATGGTATTATACAAAAGGTTATGTAGAGTCTAGAATATAGTCTGAATAGGAATGAAAACATGGCTGATCTGGGCTGCCTCCTGAAAATGGAGGCTGTGGGAGAAACTAGCCAATCAGAGGGGAAAACTACAGAATTTGGAGGGTTTCCATTGTGAAGTTCGGGGGTAGAGTGAGCTGCTAAAGTGAAGAGATTTCTGGGGCAAGAGTATAGCCTGGAAAAGAATGAAGACATGGCTGGCCTGGGTACCCTCGTTTAAAATGGAGGTTTGGAGAGGAACTAGCCACTCACAGGGAGTTACAGAATTTAAGGACATTAGTTCCTGAACTCCACTCTTCTATGTAGAAGAGTTTGAAAAGAGAGAGAAAGAGCTCAGTCCCTGGAGCTAAGATTCTGTCACCTCTGGAGATGTTAGGTCTTAGAGACAAGACTGGGAGTAAACCAGGGGAGAATTCCTACTGGTCTTAGGGTAAGGATTCTGAAAAAGCCTATAAGTAACTTAGCCAAAGATTCAGCTTAACCAGAAACTGGATGCAGCAGAGAATCATGCCAAGCAGAGCAGCAGGCCTGGTTAGCCCAGCAGAGCAGTGCCCCTAGTCAAGACAATTTATCCAGTAAGGAGTCTCATAGGGATATCACGGGAGGACAAATACGAGCTTTCCTTCCCATGTGCTTCCCCTGGGAGGACCTCATCTTGTGGGATCCCTGTACTTTTTTAGTTTCCTCCTTAATGATGTGTTGTGTTTTCAGTAATATGCTTCCTAAGTTTATGGTGGACAGCCAATCGTTTTTACTGTGCTGTTTCATTAATTACTTTTACATTGAAATAATTTTATCTTCTTGCTGATTATTTATTAAAAGGTAACATGTCAGTGGGAGTCTTCTATACTATGTGTAGTTTTAGGAGTCCCAGACCTGACCTTTCAGTATGAGTTGGGGCTAGACTGGTAAGGTCTTTAGGGATAGAAGGCGGTGAGTGGATTGATGAGACTGAAAACAAACAATGGCAAATGCTCAAATATCATGCAGATACTCAGTGGACCTGGATAAAAATAAAATGGGCTTGTTTGAGATTCTTTAAATATTAGCCCTATTGTAGTAGTAAGGTTAATTCTTTGCATTAATACCATTTTCACATCTTTTAGCTACATTTTATAGATCAGTTTTTTTAGGCTTGAGTTTTTCCAAGTTATTTCATATTCAGTTCTCGTAGCCTAATTCTGTTCATAACTTTCTGCTACATCTTTTTGTGAAGCCAAGGAATTATCTTCTTCTCAGTTGGATTAAGGAATTTCCCTTATAGAATGAGAATTCATGTTTTAGACTAGTGATACTTCAACTTTTGTTCTCCAGTCAAATTATCAATCAATAAACTTTTAAGTGCCTATTAGATGTAGGTGCTGTATCTCCAGCCTCTGAGGATATAGACTTAAATGAATCCCATTTAAGAAACACAACTCCTTTTTTCCTTCTAGTCTAAAGCAGTAATACTTGAAGATACCTTCAAAACTGCCATTAGTAATATTGAGTACTGTAGATGTTCTTGAGAACCTAGTATACTACTCTGATAAAGAAATTACAGGTATTAAAAAGCCACAGTGGTTTTTTAACCTGTATGTATATTTACATATAAATGTTTCATTCTATAGGATGTAAATTCTTTAAGGGGAAGGGATTATTTCACTTAAGACTATATTTTCAGAAACCAGAGAAACAGCATTGCACAGTGGGTCAGCTATTGATGGCTCCTTGTGTAGGACAGATGTGTTCATAAAATAGGAACTATGACTTGATAGCCATAGATATCAATAAAACTTAAGCCTAGAGTTATCATGTGATAGGTATCATAAATATTCCCTTTCCTCCAGAACCACTATCCAGTACAGAGAGATCTCGTTTGGATACCTTCCTTAGTCATCCTCTCCTTAGTTTTTCCTTTTTCCCACCTAATGTCTCACTCCACTTCTTATACCTCTTAATTTCACTTGTTCTAGCCCTCATTGCCTCTGGACGAGGCTCCTTTTGTCTTTTATACCTTTTTGTTGTGAACCAAAAATGTGCATTATTATAAGGCCCTTCTGGAAATAAGTAATTATTTTGTATTTCTAGTGGTAGCGTTGTTTAAATTAAATAATGAAAAATTCTAAACCAGTCAAGATGAGGTTGTTATAATGTATCTCTAGAATTAGTCATATACATACATTTTAATGAAAAATTTATTCCTTCAAAAAGTTTATGTGAGAGCAACCAGGAACTCCACAAAGGCCTTACTTAGATGCCTTATTGTGACAGAGAGTGGATTCTGGGCTTTTGAATGCTGTGCAGAGTGCAAATTATCTAAGGTTCTGTGGAAGTTGGGAAAGCTTTGAATATAGGCCCAATGATAACCTTTCTCCAAGGACCAACCTAGGTAATTATGCAAAGGTTTTTTTTCCCCACAGAAAAGATAAAATTACCAAATTGCCCACTGTCTATACAACTCTATTTTTTTCTGTAGTAAAAGTAGTAGTGTCAAAGGAAGGGGGACAGACAACTGAGAATTGTATAGTTTTAAAATTGTCTACAATCATTAATTTTTGCTACTCAGTGTGAAATTTTTGTCTCATTGAAGAATAGTGTTGATATACTATCGGAAGAACTGAATCACAGTGATTCTGGTTTTATTTTGACAAAGCCATA